ACACATTAATAAAATTCAGACCCACGTCTTAAGTAATTTACAGCCTAAAAGGGAAGACAATCATAAAAATACCCACACATGCCCATCCATAACCTATTACCCTAAATCTGAGGGCCAGATGTGTCTTAGAATTTCAAAGCTTTCAGGTTTTAAAAAACTGTGCTCACATCAGGCATGGTGGTACATGCTTGTATTCCCAGCACTCTGGAGGATGAGGCAGGAGGACTGCCATGAGTTTAAGGCCATCCTGGGCTATACAGAGAATTCAGGACCAGCCTGAACTACATAGTAAGAACCTGTCTCAAAAAACAAAAACAAATAAAAATGTATGGTATCATGTATGACAAAATATCCCAACTAGACTCTGGGGCAGCATCCCACACAATCAAGAATATTTCAGCGGCAAAATGTAAGCATGTGGACAGTAGGCAGGGACAAACCGATTAGAGAGCCTCTGTGTGACAAAATGATTCAGGTCACATAAGGTCTTACTACCAAATGATTCATGAAGCAGGGGAGAAGAGATCATAGACCTGTAATATATATGAGGAGGACTACCTGGCACAAAAGCAGGAGGACAGTAAATGCAAAAGACACCTTTGGTTAGCCAACCACAAGCTAACATCTACTGAGGATTTATGTGTATGCTCTATTCAGAGATCGTCAGAGTCAACTCTTTGAAGCTTTCAGATCAATCTCTTTCTGCATGAGGACATGCTACCAATCCCTTCCTGGCAAACTTCAGTTTCTTTAGTAATTAACTGTCTACCACATACCATTTAAATATATAATGTAGTTTGCAGAATTCTAGACTAAATTATCTTAAATTACTTCCTTATAAAAACTGATCACTGGGGGCCAGGGATTTAACTCAGTGGTGCCACACTTGACTGGCATGTACAAGGTCCTGAGTTTGATCCCCAGTACCAGAAAAAAAAACAAACACTGGTCACTCTAAGGCTTAACTATTCTAAATATAATGTATATACTCTGTGTTACATGTCAGTTAAGACAATAAAGACTCATTTAGCCTATGCTATATTTTTAATTTCACTTTACTAAATACTTAAAGCCCACTTTTCATATCTTAATCCCTAGGTAAAGGTATTTAAATAAAGAACTCATTAAAATGGGGCGCTGAGTTAACATTGCTAACTGCCGCACACAAATATATAAACAATCCTATATGAGACCCAGAGATTATTTCATCTTTGAGCATAGTAGTAGGGTCACTTTTTTCGGTTCTAGAGAAACTAACAGAATTGACAGATTCTAAAAACTTATGACAAGCTAAATGACAGAGAATAGAAATAGCAAGGCTCCAAAAATCATATATTTAATAGGCAAGAATGAATTTTTCAGAATACTCATAAACTGACAAAAAATTAAAAGCATACACTAATAGAAGAGTAAATATGGGACATCCATACAATGAAGTATCACAAAGCCATTAAGAAGAGAACATTAGAAGTACTGGCCTGCAATGACGCCAGCACTGATACCCCTGAACAAATCCTTTTTCTTTTTTTGTGACAGGGTCTCACTATGTAGTGGAAACTGACCTGGAACTCACAGTGATCCTCCTGCCTCAGCCTCCCGAGTGCTGGGATTACAGGTGTGCGCCATCACACCCGGCTTACAAATCCTCCTTTCTCAGACATCAACAGTAAGATAAGCATCCTGGTGAGAGTTTTTCCTTGCCTTAATAACTACACAGTAGAAGAACTAACCCCACAAAAGCTAAAATTGGGAAGAAAATTTAAGCTATATACTGCCTTAATATTAGACATTAAGAGAAACAGTATTATTTTAGCAAGTAAAGAGCATTTAATATCAGAAAGTATTTAATGTGATCTCCACTTCAAAACACACCAAATAACATATATCTTGGCAATTCTGAGAAAAAAGCTTCCCCACAATGCATGCTGGAAAAATGCTATTGAAGAACATATGCAGTAAGCTTACAACATATTTATTTGTTCCTAACTATTGCACCAAGGGAACTTCTTGGGTACCTGTACCACCAAAAGGACATTAGCTAGTGAAGCTAATGATTAAGAGCACTGCTGCCAGTACCCAGCTACCGGGGTTTGAACACTGACTTCTTCTACTGCATGTTTAAACCAACAGATAGTAGTCAATGAAAGCTAACTGAAATTATTACTACAGTTGAGAAAAAGAGATCCTTGAACTAAAAGTGGAAAAATGTTCAAATATTTTAAGGAAGAGTGTATATTTAATTAAGGATCACTTTTAAGTAATCAAAATATTTTGGATGCATTAGCTCTATTTTTTCATCCTAAGCCATAATGCATATACATTTTAAAATCTATTGCCTATCTTCTTTACATTCTTCCTGATCATATGATGATTAATATGGAGATTTACCTAAAATTTAAAAATTCAAATTGGTTTAATTAGTCAATTAAGTATCCAGGTTGTGATCCCCCAAGTTTCTCGGTGTTAGTTTTCTTCTCTATTCTACTCATTTGCTGCTTATTAGTGTTACCTCCACCAGAGGGCAGGCAAAAGGTGAAGACGGGAAACACTTCAAGTTGGTCATTTACTGGCTTCCAGAGAATCTTGGGCAGCATCACCAGAAGACTTTAAATAGCACTAAAGCTGTAGGAGTCTCTGGAAACTGTCTTGTCCAATTGAAATGGCTTTAGCTAAAATACAGCAAAAGAGCTGGCAAATATTAAGTAATGAATTCAACCATTCGTTCAACAAACACCCACACACCAAACACATGCCAGACACATTCTAGGTTCTACAGATTCAGTATTAACAAAACAAGCCAGTTTCCACTCCTGTGGTATTATTATCTGCTTAGTAGATACACAGTAAGGCACATAAATTATGATTTTTAAGTACTAAAGGGTATCTAGGAAGGAGTGTTTTTTTTGTTTTTTGTGTTTTTTGGTACCGGGGATGGAACTCTGGACCTTTTGCTTGCAAGGCAGGTGGCAGAACCACTGAGCTAAATCCCTGGCCCTAGGAAGCCTTTTTAAAACAATATAGGTAAAGTTGAATAAAGTGAGAAACTGAGTCATGCCTTAACAGGAAAAAAAAAGCATTTCAAGAAGAAAAAACAGTGAATGCAAAGGTCTTCATATAGAAATGAACTTGGCAGACTGACCCAATAAGAAAAAGTGGTATGGCTGAAGATGAGCAAGGCAGAAAGAGCCAAAAGATGAGATTAGGGAGGTGGGTAGGAGTCCAATTGGTAATCACATGGGCCTCTCGTAAACTTGTGGATTCTCACTTTCCTCAAAGTCAGATTTTCTCAGGTTGGCTACTGGGGTCTCCTTCAATACAGTTCCTATATTCTTCTGACATGCTCTCATCACTTTAACAAAACATTTTTTTTCTTACTCTGTGGCACAAAATGTTCAAGGCTCATCTAATACATTTCCTGCTCCAGCTCTAAAATCAGCCATTTAGATATGGGCACTAGCTGTGTTTACTGCTACTCTGGAGTCACTGCTCCTCAGCTGTTTCATCAGTCAAGAGTTAGGAAATGAATGAATGTATGTATGTATGTATGCAAGCATATATACACACATATTTTAATTATAAATTCATATTGATGCCACTAATCTCAATCCAACACAAGAGTTTGTTGCCTTCTTCCATTCTTGGTTTTCATTTCTCTTCACTCACAGTGAAAACCCTATCCCAGCTGGGTGTGGTAGCTCACACCTGTAATCCCAGCAATTTGGGAAGCAGAGGCAGGAGGATCACTGAGGCCAGCCTGGGCTACAAGACCAGCCTTAACTACATGGTGAGATGCTGTCTCAAAAATAAAAAGATAAAAACAAACAAACAAAAAAGAATTCTATAACAAACATAAAGTAGTTTCAGAATTGCTATACCTGTACCATACAAATAACAGCCTACAAGAGTTCAAAACTTTTTTCCAGCTCTTTTTATCTTTAGATTAACAAAATATGGTCAAAGTCCAGTGTTCAAAATTTACTTGACTTTTTTTTTCAAATCCTTCTGGAACTTTAGGTTATTCAATGAAAGTAGGTTCATTTGTTGCTATTCATTTGTATTGTTTTAGTTTTCAAAAAAAGGAAAAAGAAAAAAACCCAATAAAATTTGGAGTTCCCCACTCTCCCAATCTTGTTGATTTTATTTTTGAACACAAAAGATAAACAAGCTTCCAAAACTCAAAAACTATATAAAAAGTATGTCATGCCTTCTATTATCCCAGTTTACTCAGTTCCTAGTCACAACCTGTAGTTAGTTCATTAGTTTCTGGTCATCCCTTTTGTGTTTTTGTTCTGTGAAAAAGTTAGGCTTTCTCATGGTAAAGCAGAGGAAAACGCAGTCATTGAAGCGGAACACTGAATTCAAAATTTACTTTCAGGTGGGAGACAAAACTGAATGTCCATATAATAAGGTAAATGAGTCCACAGAAACTGACAAACTGAAGAGGCAAGGGAGGGGGGATAATTGCAAGAATTATCTATTAACATATTTCCTGGTTTAATTTGATGGACATCAAAGGGTTCTCATATTCCCCCAAATTTTCATTCTGTCTGTAACCTTCCAGAATAGTTATACCTATTTATGCTTCTAGAGAACATACATTAAAAAAGTTATTATTGTGGAAGGATAAGTCATCACTACCTATTAATGTTAATAAAATGCATTCTTCCCAAGCAAGAAGGTTTTAAACTTTGAATAAGGCATTTAACCAGGAGGAGAGGTAAGAGGAGGATGGTTGGTGTGAGGATTTGTATAGTTACATGGATAAAGAGTACCAATCATGCTGGGAAAGCAAAGCACACATCTCTAACATGTCTTGGACATTTTACGCATATGCTAATGATTAGCTGAGGTATAGTCCTCTTGCCCTGGCACTAAGTTAATGTGGCACACTCTCATGTGAACTGCAGTGACACTTCCTGCCTTGAATCCCTGATGAGTCACTTAACAGCTATGTGGCCACTGGCACATTACTCAGCATCTCAGTGGCACTGTTTCCTTACCTGTAGAAGTAGACGGTCTCCTTTGCCAAGTGCTAGAGATGTAAAGAGTATAGTATTGCCCCGGCCCATGTCAAATATTTAATGAATAATTCCTATAGTAAAAGCAGATTGAATTAGCAAAATTAAAAAAAAAACAAACAACTATTAACACAGCCACCAGGCTTAAATAATGTGCCTGAGAGAAATCACACCATCTTGAGTGGTATCTGGAAGGCAGAAAAATGTCCAACAATTTCAATTCTTAATTTAACGTGTTAAATATATGTGCTGACAAACTCAAGCACCGGTGAAATAATTCTACAGGTCAAAAAGGAGCAACAACTCAGAATAACTTCTTACATAATGTCTATAGGTGCACAGAGAAGAACCTAAACGTATCACAAACCATACTAGTCAGTCTTACACTCTTAGGGGCATATACAAGAATATCGACAATGTCCAAAATTATTTTAAAAGTTATGTCAGTTTCATATACACCTACAAACCTAAATGCTCTTTTAACGAAACACTCAAATACACCATCAACTTTCAGACCCTAGGATCAGTGATGAACCAAAAGCTCTACACTGAAAACTATAAAATACGAAATGGCAGAGATTCAAAGCAGTTTTAAATGTACATATTCCGACCACTACAAATGACTTCCCCTGTCTTATATAAGCAGCGTGCAGCCTTCCTACTGGAAGGTCGCAATCTCAGTTTGCAATACCTAGATGGACTGACTGATAACCAACAAATTTCCAACGTCTTAAGAAAACTTCCCAGCGGGATGCTAATCCACAGACCAGGCTGTTTTCTCCGGGCTAAGGAGAAAGATTACATCCTCATCTTTTACAAGAAAGGGAAAGGGAAGGAGTAGAGATAAGGGAAGAGAAAGAGATATGCAAAATAACAAAGCACAGCTTCAGTAAACAAATGAAAGCCCGGTTTTAAACTTCTGGAAATTCAATCTTCCCGTAACGAACAGCAACAAATGTCAAAGCGTAAGGCGATCGTTTGTGTTCCGAAGTAGAAAACGATGTAGACAGAGAGGCAAGCAGTTTCTCAGGTTCCACACTACAGATATTCAAAATCCATTCTTTTGTCGCCCTCCCCATGGACACTGTATCAGTTCAAAAACCCTAAGACAGGAGAGAGAGCACAGGACATGTCGGCGCCTGGGTGGGAACTTCGGAGGGCGTCCCCGGCGGGCGCTCCACAGCCCTCCCAGGCAGCTCGAGGAGCCGCAGGCTCCGGGCGGCCGAGCGCGCCCC